TAAATTCTCCATGTTTGTTTATTGATTTGTGATATTTTCTAAATTCTTCCACTTAGAATTCTCACAGTGATCACATATGATTGCCAGGTTATACTTCTTTTCAGAATTTTACAATTTTAGATAATAAAAGAAAAAGACTTTGAATGTCCCTTCTAAAAGTTATACACCACTCAATAATTAGCATGGGATGGCTGAATTCAGTAAAGTCAACACTCACATTCAATACTAAAAGAAATTTTAGATAAAGCTAGCATGTAAAAATAATATTTGCCCAAAGCTACTAAAGAAAACAGGGTGGTATGGGACACATGAAGTTAAAACCGGAGTGGAAGAACTGTGAAAGTTATTAGTAATACTTAGAGGTCATTAAGGAAAAAGTTTGTAAGTGTATTGTCTCCAAATTCCTTATGGGGAAATAGAAATAACACAAAATATTTTATGCTACATGGCAGGTGCAATGGTTGTCTTGCCAAAAGATATTGGTATTATTGAGCTGCAAGCTGAACTAGCCACTCATTTGATTTTCTTTTGTAATAATATAACACACGTCTCTACTTAAAAGTGTTTGCTTGACAAACTAGTGATTCATTTTCTTCTAAAAAAAAACCAAACTTGTCACTTCAAGCAAATAACTGACAAGGTTTTGTGCTAATGTAATATGTGACCTTTCTAATAAAACTTGGAATTCTGCAAAACTTAGACCTACCATTGAGTTGACAGCCTCCCAGTTTCTGAAAGCCTTATATGATGCTAGTGTTGTGATATAAATAAATGTGAATTTTTGATGTTATCCAGTGAATGGGGCAACATTCTGAAGATACCTCAATGAATCCATATTTCCTAAGCAATTGATGTGTGATTTTACCAGATAATTTCTTTTACACAAGTGGAAGAATGAATGGATATATATTGATTCTTCCAGTCCTTGCACATGGGGTGAATGGCGTTTCTTGTTTCTTTCACTGTTTTCATCAGTGTGGTATAAACTCCACTGTAGAGATCTTCCACTTCATTGGTTTTACTCCTTTATATTTAGTAATTTTTATGGCCATTACAAATAATGTTACATTCTTGATTTTTTTTTTTTCAGATTGCTTGCGTTTGGTGTATAACTGCTACCGCATGCTGTAGGCTGAATTATACAACATGTGTTAAATTTATTATTATATTTCCTGGAGCTTTTGAAGTTTTATTTATATAAGATCATATTATTTACAATGACAATAAGACTTCCCTTTTTTAAAAAATTTGTGTAACACTTCCTATCCCCTCCCGCACTACACACACACACAATTGCTGTGGCTGACACTTCCAAATCTTGTGTTAAATAAAAGTAGTGTAGAGGGTAATTTTAGCATATTACAGATGTTGGAAAGCTCTCAGCAAATTTTGTCCATGCAGTATGATGTTAGCCATTAGATTCTGATATGTGACCTTTATTATGTTGAGATACATTCTTTCGGTACCTGATTTTTTCAGATGTTAAATTTTCTCATGAAAAAGTGTTAGATTTTATGTCTTTCCTCCATCTGTTGAGGTAGTTATATGATTTTTATCCTTCATTGTAGAATGTGGTCTGCCATATTTACTGTTTTGCCTATTCTCAACCATTCTTGCATCCCTGAGATAAATCTATTTGATTATGATGAATAATATTTTTAATGTGGTATAGATTCAATGTGCTAATATTTTATTGAGGCCTTTGCATCATTCTTCTTCACACATATATGGCTACAATTTTCTGTTGTGTCTTTCTGGGTTTGGCATTACTGACCTCATAAAATTTTTTTAAAGAATTCTCTCATAATTTTTGGAATACTTTACTTACAGTACTGTTTGTTCTTTATATATTTGGTACAACTGCACAGCAAACTATCCAATGTTGGCTTTTTCTTCATCCAAGGCTTTTTATTACTGTCATTAGTTGTTCTATTTCTTCATGATTCAGTCTTGGTAATGTGTGTGCCTAGGCATCTCTCCATTTGTTCTAGGTTATCAAACTTGTTTCCATGAAATTATTCCCATGATCTCTGATGGTTCTTTGTATTTCTGTGGGATCAGACATAATGTCTCAGTATGTCATAATGCTAAACAAGACACCTACCCCAGCATCACTTTCTTCATCGTCACTTCCTAAAGGACATTATTTATATGAGCTTTGTTGTAACAGATTATAGTTCTTAGCTGAAAGAGATTTTTCATTTGATGGTTCACTCCCCAAAAGGCCACAAAGGCCAGACCTGGGCTGGTCCAAAGATAGGAGCCAGGAGCTTCTTCTGAATCTCCCACATGAGTACAGGAGCCAAAGTCCGTGGGCCATACTCTGCTGCTTTCCCCAGATATATTAGCAGAGAATTAGATGGGAAGTGGAACAACTGGAACTCAAATCAGCTTATATGTGATGCTGGTGCCCTAACTGGTGGCTTTACCCACTACTCCCCTACGTGTATTACTGTTAGATCAGTAGACAAAGTTAGAACATAAAGAGAAGATAGAGGTATGTATTTGAAATGGAAACTGTTATGACTATTTAGGAGAATATCTCTTCATTGGAAATATACGTGTAACTATATACATGGTTTGTAAATAAATTTTTCAGGGGGAGAATCAACACAAATGATTTTAAAAATGGAGTAAATTATAACCATGGAGAAGCCTTGTTAAATGCTTAATCAGCATTCTTTGTCTAATTTCTATTTTCTACTAGAAAGATATTCTAAAACACATTAGAAAAGTGAAACATGATATTCTATTTGTTTGCTTGAAAACTGCAAGTTCCTTTCAGTCTCGAAGCTGGGCTCTTAGTTTTAGCATTTCCTCGTAACATAAAATGCATACTTACATCGCTTACACTTAGTCTAAAGAGCAGAGCCCTTCATGGTGTCCTAGATTTTTGTGTATGCATATATAAAATATTATTCCTTATTCATACTCAATGACATGATTATGGCGTTTTCATTAGTCATATAAATATTGTTTAATTTGTGGTCATATTATTCCTGGGAAATGTGAAACTACACGAAAGAAAGAAAAACTAGGGAAAGGGGAAGTAGAAATAAGGCTAAAATTTGAGTATTTTGTCACTGAGGTAAAATGAACGGACACACTTAGTGCTGTTCTCCTGATGTGCTTGACTTTTAATGAAACGTAAGTATCACTGGAGCCAGCTTATAAATAATGTCTTTGTGTTTAATTCTTTTAACTTGGCTGTTTTTTATTTGTCACTTGAAGACGTAATACTTATTTATCTTCTTGGAAAACCTTTTGTGTTTCAACTAGAATAGTATCTCTTTGCAACATTTACTTCTCAAATAGTCTAAATTTAGATAATATAATTGGGGTTGTTCTTCATATATTGATTTGAGTAATTTATTGTTTTGAGCCTGTAAATAAGGTTTATTAATATTATTTATGAGGGCTATAAGTAATTAAATCATTTAATGACATTAAATGATATGAATATATTTTTTAGTTTCTGTGCCATTTTCCTTTTTTCAAGCAAAGGCCAGATTCCAGCAGCTAGCTTTTTGTCCAACTTGGCTTAATTTTTGAAAAATACATTATTGGAGATATGCTAGGCCTATTATACATCTCTTTAACATACAAACATGTAAACCTATACTATAAAGGTTATTTCTGTATTGATTGAAGTTTTATTTTTTCCAAATTATCATCTACATCTACATTAAATGACATAATGTACATTATCAAATAAATGATTCATTAAAGAAACAAAATCAGCCCCTAAATTTTAAAAGCTATGTGATGATTCCTTTGTGAAAGTCTCCCTAAGTAGGTTTACCTTTCTGTTGGTAAACCCCTTTAAGTAGAAGAGACAGTAGGAAGAAGGGATCAATGGGACCCAGTGCCTTAGCTTTTGCTAAAGTATTTGCCTTACATGGACCAGGTTCCTATATGGTCAAAGGTTCATGTCCCAGCTGCTCCACTTCCCTTCCAGCTCCCTGCTTGTGATCTGAGAAAGCGGTAAAGGACAGCCTGAAGCCTTGGAACCCTTCACCCAAGTGGGAGATCTGGAAGAAACTCCTGGCTTCAGATCAGCTCACCTCCAGCCATAGAGGCCACTTGGAAAGTGGATCAACCAGTAGATCTTTCTCTGCATATCTCTTTCTCTCTATAAAATAATCCAATAAAAATAAGTAAATCTTAAAATGGGGGGAGCGGGATTCAGTAGGTTTTTTATTCTTCAAAATACTACTGAGGGGGCCCGGTGCAATAATGTATTGGTTAAATCCTTGCCTTTCATTTCTGGGATCCCATATGGGTACCGATTTATGTCCTAGCTGCTCCACTTTCCATCCAGCTCCCTGCTTGTGGCCTGAGAAAGTAATAGAGCATGGCCTTGGGACCCTGCACCCACCTAGGAGACCCAGAAAATTCTTGCTCTTGGCTTCACACTGGTTCAGCTCCAGCTAGCCATTGCAGCAGCTTGGAGAATAAACCAGTGGATAGAAGATCTTTGTCTGTCTCCTCTTGTCTGTAAATCTGCCTTTCCAATAAAAATAAATAAATCTTACAAAAAAAAAAAAACCTACTACTGAGAAGATTATAGCACTTGAGGTTCATGCTGAATAAAAAACACTTGAAATATGTGTAAAATCTAGAGTCTCACATTAGAAGTAGACCATCTAGCAATTTACTGTTAGTGTGCTTGTTTTTCTCCTGTGGTGATAATAATAATTATGTAAATAAGCAAAAAAAAAACTACATTTTTAAAAATTGATGATTTTAGCTACAGTCTGATATTATTTCTGTCTCCAATTCTGATAAATATTTAACCAAAGATAAGCATGCAGTCCAGATAAGATACAGCAAGGAACAGAGGGATTTTTAATAGAATCGCATTCGTCATAAAGCCATGTGTCAGATTCTTCATTTTTAACCGAGGTGATGTAGACTCTGAAAGTAAAAGCATTTAACCTGTCATACAAGAGAACTTGATTTTGTGCCTGTTAATGGACTTAAGAAGTTTCCTTTGGCAGATGGAGATGGGCACATGGATCACTTACTACCTGGCTGTGAGGATCAAAATTGCCATAAAAGCATCATCTACTTAACACTCTCTGGAACAAAGCAGGTATGTCCACTAGTTTTTCATTAGGACCAATTAATACAGTTCAAAAAAATCTTCAAACAGCTAAACAAGGTATCTGAAAAATCATGATAGAAACTCAAAATTAAGGTATTGACTTGCTTATTTTAATGTAATGAAGTACTCTTAAATCTGTTTATTACTATATGTTGATGGCAAATGTGTTTTTATAATTACCTCTAATTAGGTGGCACAACCCATATTTACAGCAGACAAATCTCAGCTGCTCCACTTCTGATCCATTTCTTTGCTAATGTACTTGGAAAAACAACAGGAGAGTGCCTAAGTGCTTGGATCCCTGCCACGTTGAGGGGAGACCCAAGTGGAGTTCTGGGTGCCTGGTTTCAGTCTGCTCCAATCCCAGCCCTTGTGACTATTTGGGGTACATATCAGCATTTGGAAAATTGGTCTCTCTCTTTAACATTGTGTTTTAAATAAAGAAATGAATAAATCTTTAGATAAAAAAGTTCTGGATCCTATGATCTGTTAGCATTTTAAATGCCAGAAATATGGTCAAACACTGTTAAACACAGAATTACCTAGAAGTACATTATATCTAGTTTCATAACCTTGTTTTGGATGATGGTGATGGGATATCAACTGGTTTACTGTCCAATCAATGGCCAGGACTAGTCTGAGCTGAAGTGAAGAATGAGGAACTCAATCGAGATCTCACATTGGTGGCAAGATTCCTTTATTTAAGCATTCACTCCTGCCTGCCATGGTCTGCAAAACAGGATACTAGCCTGGCAACTGCAACAGAGAAGTAAACAAAGGCATGCTGCTGTGAGATGCTGATGTTAAGCTAGGGCGAATGCCTATCCCACTAATTTTGCATTTATTATAGTATCTGGATTTCCTTCTTTCTCTGACAATTACTTTTACCCATAGCTCATGAGTACAGTTTAGAATCTGATAGTCAAATTGGAGGATTAATATAGAAGTGAGAGGTTATGGTGGTAATAGAATATATCCTTTTGGGTAGTAACAAATGATAGAATAGCATGTTTCTTTTATAGCCCGTGAGAGCTATAAAATTCAGGATAGATTTATCCTGAAGCAGTTAAAAATCTTCACACAACAGAAAGTATTTAAATAGTAAAACCAGAAGTTTGATTATCTTGAACTTTTTTAAAGTATAAATCACTTAAAGTAATACCTCAGTGTTGGTTCATAATATTTAAACCTAATTGTAGTCTGTTAAAAAAATGAAGACTGTTGCAAAAATATTTTCACTTTGGATCAGTGTTTTGATGCTGCAGGCTAAGCCTCTGCTTTCAATATAGGGATTCCATGTCACATTGCCTATCTGCTTCTGATCCAGCTTCCTATTGATGCTCCTGAGAAAGCAATTGATGCTAATTTAAATATTTAGACCACTACCACCCATGTAGAAGATCAAGATGGAATTTCTGACTACTAATTTCAACGAGGCCCAGAGCTGGTGGCTAATAACCATTTTAGAGATTGAACTATTGGTTGAAATATCTCCCTTGAGCATCCTGCCTTTCCCACTCTGCCTTTCAAATGAATAAAAAAGTCTTTTAAAGAAAAAGATTATTTCAAACCTACTCAGATATTTCTCTAGAAAGATTAATTACCAAAGTTCTTAAAATTTTTTTATGAATTTTACAGTGAAGAACATTTCCTTTTACTTTGTAGGCCTTCATACATTTACCTCAATAGGAATACATTAGCCATCGGGGCTTATCCTGATTAATAAACTGTCATCCTCAGAAATTTGCAGTAACAGCATTTTGTGAAATATCCCATCTTCTTCCAAAGCAAAACCAACAGATTTTTTTTTAAACCTCAAAATTATTAAAGCATTTTGATGATATGAAACACTATATTTTTAAAAGATTGATTTATTTATTTGAAAGACACAGTTACAGTTCACTCCTTAGATGACCACAGTAGCTGGGTCTGAGCCAGATTGAACTCCACAGTCAAGAGTTTCCTCTGGTCTCCTGGGTGACAGGAGCGCCGACATTTGGACCATGTCCCACTGCTTTCCCATGCTACTAACAGGGAACTGGATCAGAAGTGAAATATCCAGGACTCAAACCACAGCCCGTATGGGATGCCGTGTCACAGGGAATGGTTTTACTTGCTGAACCACAGTTGCAGCCCCAGTATACCTTTTTATTCTTGCAGAAAAGAATGAAAAAGGGATTAAAAATAAAAACCACATTTTTTTAAAACTCAATTTTAATAATCATGTCTGTCATTCTTTTTCATTAAAATTTCTAAAAAACATCTTTTAATAGTATAAACAATTGCAATTTCTTCAGACAACCTGTCAAATGTTGGATATTCCTTGTTTACGAGGCCTTCTTTTAAGAAGCCAGTTTTTAAGAAGATATTTGTATACTTGAAAATCTGAGTTATAGAAAAGGAGAGAGAGGTCAGGTCTTCTGCTGGCTTACTCTCCAGAGGACTGAAACAGCCAGGGCTGAACCAAAGTAATGCCAGGAGCCACGGCCTTCATCCCAACCTCCCACGTGGGTGTCAAGGTCCCAAACACTGCTTTTCCCAGGTCATTAGCAGAGTAAATTGGAAGTGAAGTGAAGCACCAATGTGGAATGACAATGTCAAATGCAACACCTGCTGCACAACACAGCAGCTCCACAAGCCATTTTTAATGTAGTTCTGCTTGCAGCCATGTAAATGAGTTATCTGCTTAGAAGGAAAATAAATCTATAGGCATGTTTGGCCTCTTGCCATTTCAAGTCACCTGTGCCAGCTTCTGTTGCAGCATCTCCAGGTCATATTCTGCATCTGTACTCTAAGCTAATTGTGGAAACATCTACAATTTTAATGGAATGTTTTTAGCTCCTCAGATTTGTAGTTGTACATTAAATTATTTTAAAGGTGAAGATCTGTGCAGTCATGAGAGACAAGGATTTCCAAAAGCTCATTTTGAAATCAGTCTATTCTGTTGTAATAAATATAGAAATGAAAGAATTTTTTTTGAATGGATATGAAAGCAGTTCTTTTTTTTTATTTTTATTTTTATTAACATTTTTAAATCTAACTTCTTACTCTTGTAGTGAGAAGTCTCATACTCCTTGGCTGAGAAACATCTGTTAGTTGCAGCAGTGTTGTCTGGGGAGCGTTGGGAACTTCTTGGTTTGGGGTCATGAATAAAGTCATCTACATATACAAGCATATTTCAAAGAGTTTGTGAGAAAATGGAAATCAGAGAAAAAAATTTAAAATAAAAACTTTGTCTAAATGTAAGAACTGTCTAGTTCAAGGATTACTTTAAAAAAAATTATAAGCAATACCTAAGGAACTTGAAACTACTAAAAATCCTCCTATTTAAGATTTATTTTTTTTTTTTTTTAAGATTTATTTTTATTATTTTTTATTGGAAAGGCGGATATACAGAGAGGAGAGACAGAGAGGAAGATCTTCCGTCCGATGATTCACTCCCCAAGTGAGCGCAACGGGTCGATACTATGCCGATCCGAAGCCAGGAGCCTCTTCCGGGTCTCCCACGCGGGTGCAGGGTCCCAAAGCTTTGGGCCGTCCTCGACTGCCTTCCCGGGCCACGGGCAGGGAGCTGGAAGGGAAGCGGGGCTGCCGGGATTAGAACCGGCGCCCATATGGGATCCCGGGCGTGCAAGGCGAGGACTTAACCACTTGCGCCACCGCGCCGGGCCCAAGATTTATTTTTTATTTTTATTTGAAAGATACTGTTACACAGAGAAAGAAAGGGAGAAAGAAAGAGAAAGCTCTTCCATCCACTGGCTCACCCCCAAATGGCCACCCATGGCTGGAACGGGCTGATCCAAAGCCTTCTTCCTGTCTCCCATATGGGTTCAGGGTCCCATGGACTTGGACCTTCCTCCAGTGCTTTCCCAGGCTACAAGCAAGAAGCTTGATCAGAGGTGGAGCAGCTGGGACAAGAACAGTGAGATGTCCACCTCAGGCTGAGGCTTAACCTACTACACAGAACTGGCCCAAATTCCTGAGAATTTGACCTTTTCAGTGGCAGTCTTTTTTATGTTATTAAATGAAACAAATTACTGTCTTTTAAACATGTGCACGGTTTGGGGAAAAAAAAAAGAGTCAGAATGAGCCAAATCTGGTTGTGAGATGAGATGATTTCCCATTGAAATTCAAAAAAAAAAAATATTGCCCTTGTTTAATGAAAGGAATGGACAGAACCATTGTGGCTATGAAGGAAGACTCTGGTGAAGCTTTCTCAAGCATTTTTTTGTGCTAAAGCTTTGACTAATTTTTTATAAACAAATATTATTGTTCTTTTCACCTCTAGAAGGTCAACAAGCCAAATGAAGTAAGCATTCCAAAAAAACTGTTTCCATGACATTTACTTTTGACCATACTTTGCTTTCATTGACCTGCTTTTCACTCATCTGCTCATTGTTTTCATTGTGCTCAGTCTTCAGAATCATGAAGCCATGTTGCAACCCATTCCAGTTCTGTAACAAAATGCTGCATGGGATGGCTGCTTGGCATCTGCCCCATACTGGAATGCCCGAGTTCAGTATTCCAACCTCTAGCTCCTGAATCAGACCTCCTGCAAATACTTACACTGGGAAGCAGCAGTGAGGACTTGAGTAATTGGGCTCCTTGCCACCCAGACAGAACACCTAGACTGAGTTCCAACCCAGCAACTTTGGCCTAGCCGATTTCAGCTTTTGTGCATGTTTGAGGAGTGAACTACCAGTGGAATCAATCAGACCCCTTCCCCACATCCCCGTCTTCACCCACAACAGCTCCCATGTAAACAGAAATTGCTTAAGCTGAACCAATTATAATGTCTGTGGTGTCATTGTTTCAGCCTTAATTAGCATTGACTTAGGGTGTCACAACAAAATTTTTTCCTTGCAAATTGCTATGGATGGTCTGCTTCTTCAGGCTTCATACTTGTCTCATCTCTTCAGAAACTGAGCTTTCCAGTTTCAAGCTGCTGTTCTTTGAGGCACTATTCTCATTACCTTTTTGTAAAGCAACAGTGATTTAACCACTCTTCTACCCCAGCCTCATTTTATATTTTTTATATTTATTCTTGCTGTAAATTTATCACAGTTAATGTTGCTCTGATAGCGGCTCCTCTCAGCCTGATGCCTCGTGGTTAGTGCTTTCAGACATGTCATAACAACACAGTACAAGTTTATTTGAGTGCAAAATTTTGAAATCCACCCATAGCTTCTTCATAATGTGTGTTTTCCATGGACCTTTTGAAGATTCTTTGTATAAAAGAGAATCAAGGAAACTCTCATATTCTTCAGTTGGTCCTTTTGAAATGCTACCATTATTAGATAATGATGACTGATTTTTAAAAATACTCTTTTGAGGTTGTAATTCCTTTCAATGAGAATTTTAAATTGGACAATACAACTAAATGCAGTTTAATATCAACTGAGTCCTAAAACCTATGGCTGTGACCAGCTGTGCACCGAGATGACTAGTGATACACTCTAGGACTACTTTTAAATTGCAGTAACCCACCATTTTGTTCAGGGGTTAAAATGCTTATTTTGAAAAATTTTAATTGATGGTTTCTTTGCCCAATTTTGAATATTTGTTCTAAGGTTACTGAAAATCTAATGTGCTTTCTCTTAATCCATAGTGGGTTCCAGTCCTGCAGAATTTCAGCAATAAGGGCACACTCTGGGGCTTTGTGCCATTTGTGAATGAAAAACGAATAACGGAAATATCAATGCCAATTACCCTTCATATTGGAGATTACAACATGGATGGCTATCCAGATGCTCTGGCCATACTGAAGAATACGTCTGGAAGGTATGGGAATGGCATGGACTGGGAAATCTCCGTGAAAAACCTTCTCTGAGCTCAGTCGCTTAAGTGAGGAGCATGATCAAGCTCAGTTACTACTTCTTGGTTTGATCCCTGAACTTCTCTCAGCAAGAAGCAGAGAGTTGCAAGACAAAAATGACCCTCTAATCTAAATTTAATTAGTTAATTTCCATTCAAAGGACTTGATCTTTAAAAGATTTTTTTTTAAAAAATTGAAAGGCAAGTTACCCAATTACATTTAGAAACTAAAGAAAATGGGGGGTTAAAAGCTGACATACCATCTGTGTAACCTTGGGAGAGCTGACCTAAACTGTTCCTCTGTAAAGTCAAAGTAATGATTGCACCTCCATTATGGAGTTATGGTCAAAATTAAATGAAATGAAAGTGAATTAACTACCCAGTAAGATACTCAGCATGTACTGGTTTGACTGAATAGATGTTATTTTGTAATAACACTGAAAATTCCAATATGATTATTGTTACTTAAGATAATATCATGGATTTTAAATGCTGCAGCTAATCTTTTTTTTAAGTATAGAAGCATCAGTATAATTTTGGCAGATTCCATAAATATGACTGCCCCTGGAGATTAATAGCTTATGGTGTGATCAGCACATAACTAGAGGCCCTTATTATTTCTGACTCCTGCTTCATTTATCTCTCTGTGGTTTGTTCTGATCACGAAATCATTTCTTGACCCTGGAATCAGTAATGACTCAGCTGCACATTAACTGTCAGGCTCGTGATGCAATACAGTGTCCTCCAGAAAAAAAAAAAAAAGACTTATACTGCTTTCAATAGCAATAATGTCTAGAAATCTGACTTTCACAAAAAAATGTGTTATTAGTGGAAGATCTGTACTTAAACTTTTTTTGGGATTTTGCTTTAAGTCATAACAGCTCTACATTGTGTTTACAGAATCTTCAAGAAACATGATTATCATGTTGTTACACTTTATATACCCATAGCCTATGCGTATAAAGTAAATGCGATACAACCAGGGAAATATCTGAATTGAACATTAGAATTACACATTTAGAATGTATAATAGCATATCAAAATGCAAAATTGCTTTATTGTGGAATTTAGGTCTATTCAGAAAAATATTAAATTGCTTCTTAAATAAATTTAGATCTGTGATTACTCATGTCTAGTAAAATACATGGATAATTTACAAGTCACATAAATTTTTTGCCAATATTTTCTCTTTTTAATCCTGGACTATTAATTTAAGCTCCTTTTCTATTCAGTACTAATTTTATCAACAGCTAATTCAGCATTGAACACTAGCTCTATGAGAAGCATTATTATTAAATGCCGTCAGACTTATTTATAATAACCTTGATACTTTTGTAAAAGCAACTACTTAGAGTTTCGTTTCTGTTCTCTTGGATTGGATGAATGTTGAGAATAGATTTCAGTGCAGATATATCCATTCAGCCACTAGATGAGGAATAGTCTATTTAAACAGGAGACAGGTTATGTGTAGAGGAATTCACTATGATGCTGCCTGGTAAGATAATGTATTGTTGAAAAAAGCATTGTGTAATCTTTAACTGATTTCCAAGATTACTATGTTGCTGGTTGTTAGTGCTGGTTGATATTTTCTAATTTCAGAGGATGCTACCTGAAGAATTTTGTTTCTGTTTTCTCATGATTTTGAAATTAGGATAGGATTAACTATGTAAATAAGAATAAAATCTGTAATATTTTTTATAAAAAGAAATTCTGAAGCCATAGTGTATTCACATATTTTGTAGTATTCCTTGTTTTGAAAACAAGGGTTTGCGGAAGGCAGGGTGCTTGCTACTTGCTTTTTATTTCAAGCTAAATACTTAATTTGTCATAAGTTAGCCTTTGAAGTCATATTACATGAAAAATAACTACATCATTGCATTTTACAAAGGCATTTTAACAGCATGAGGGAAGATCACTGGTTTACATTGTGCCACTGCACTGCAGTATTGGTTTTGTATTTTTATCCTGTGCTTGTTCCGTTGCTGCTTAGTGGTCTCTGTTTACCATTTTCTGTGTTTCATCAGCATGGCTACATTCTGTTTTCAGAATTTTTGACTCTTAGAAAAAGGACAAGCAAATAGCATTTTTCCAATAATCTATTATTAAACATTAATAAAAATGAAAATACATTTTAGAAATTGCTTTAAAAAATAACTTACAAAATAAAACTAAAAATTTCACAAATCTTTAGTTTGCAATTGAAAGCTTTGTTACAAAAAAATATGAGGATAAATTTAATGAAGAGTATTGGCACTAACAATCTAATTAAACAATTGTCATGAATCATTTCTGGTCACTATTTTTAATTTACAAAAGTTACTTCAAAAGTAATACAAAAATTAAGGGTTTTAATTAAATAACTTCAGGCTCATCTTCGTAATACCAGAAATTTCATTTTATATTTGCATTAGGAAGAATTTTTCCATAAATACTTCACTAACTGTCAAAATGTCATAGGTAAATTAGATCTAAAGTTAAATTTAGAGTTGCTGTTAGGGTTCTGCAGGCATATTTGACAAACATTTATATTAATGTTCTAGGTGTTGTTAGGTCATTTTTTAAATTCAGAGAAGGAAAATAAATTGTGTTTCGTTTGTCATGATTATATGCCTTGATTAACATGTTACAGTAGTCTAGACATATTTTGTCAGGCATGTATACTTCATATTCCTTATTTTCAGAATTTAAAAATATTTAAGTCTGATTCCTAGTTTTTATTCTCATTCATATCACCTCCACATGCTACAATCAGGATATTATTATGTTTAAGAAGAGTATTATCAATAAATTACATAGTGGATGAAACTTTTAGCAAAACTTCATGTCCTACAAAGATCCAGCCTCAATACAGCTTTAACAGCAAAGTTTTTGGCCGTGAAGGAGGAGAGCCTTGAGCATCAGCCAAGAGAACATCCAAAACCTCTTTCAGAGAGCAGTAAGTGGCAAAATATTTCTTGTTAGCTAAAGCCAGGGAAAAAATATCTTTAGCTAATAAAGTGATTTTAACAACATGTAGGTTTTTGTGGCCTGGAATCAGCTGAGCATACATAATCTAAAAATCCTGAAATGCAAACTCCAAAATATTACAAAACCTAAAGCTGTGTGCTGATGAGACATCTCAAATAAGAAATAGCACACCATGAAACCTTATTTCACACAAAATTATTTAAAATATTCTTTAAAATCCCCTTTAGGCTATGTACATAAGAAGTAAGTATATAAAATATAAATGAGTTGTTTGCTTAGACTTGAATCCCATCCTAAGTAATCTCATCACAGATAATGCAAATACTTCAGAACTTGAATTAAAAACACTTTCAGCTTCTGGTATAGTGCATCAGGACCACTCAGTCTACATTATTTTTATTTTATACATATGAAAATATCCTCTGATAAGCAGACAGCTTGTCCAATATCACACAGCTGATAAGTCACCACTCAGAGCTCAAAATTTGCAGAATCCACAGAACAAGCAGTTGGCGTAAACATTAAGATACCACTTAGGATGTCTGCATCCCATCTCCTCTGCTTCTGAGCTGGCACTTGCCAGGGAGGCAGCAGGTGATGGTTCAGGGACTTGGGTTCCCGCAGCCCACTGTGAAACTACACAGCCTGCAGTCCAGGTTCCTGGTGCAGCTTCTCCCAGCCCTGGCTGTTGCTAGCGTTTGAGGAGTGAACCAGCACATGCAATCTCCTCTCCCACTGTCTCTGTGACTTACAAACGAAGATAAATTTTCTGCTTTGTAAAAAATTTCAAAATCCAAACCCTTTCTTTCATGAAATAAAAATGGTATAGGCAAAAGCAAAAAGGAAGTAAGCAAAAGTAGCAGATTTGGGGTGGAGGTTTCAAGTAGTGCTATGTACAGAGTGAAAAGTCACTCTGACATGAGAAAGAAGGGAATAAAAAAGAAAAATAAATGACATCCAACAGTTCTTTGTGTTGTAGACAGTAAAAAAAAAAAAAAAAAAATCAGTGTGTTCCAGAACTAGAGTTTCTCAAAGTTGCTTGCCATCAAATGGGATTATGTGGCTACTATATCTATTTAAATAGATAAGTGATACACACTCAAGTCACCATAAAATTTATAATGAATAGTAGCAGACTGACATCTGAGATTTTGTCAAAAGTAATTGCAGAGGACTTTCACTGATGATGTTAACTAATTATCCATTCAGTCATAATCTGTGTTTTATTATAGTTTTGTTTATTTATTTTTAAAAAAAGAAAGAGAAATATCTTCTGCCCACTGGTGATTTCCCCAAGTGGACATGAAGTCCAAAACTGAGCCAATTCGAAGCCAGGACCTAGCCTAGGAGCTTCTTCTGGGTCTCCCATGTGGGTGCAGTCTCAAGACTGGGCCATCCTCCAATGCTCTCCCAGGGTACAAGCAGGGAGCTGGATGGGAAGTGGAACAGTGAGGACGTGAACTTTTACCCAGTGGGATCCCAGCGATTGCAAAGAGAGGATTTAGCCAATAGGCTTCCACACCGTGCCCATAATCTGTATTTTTATCTGAAGCCATGCTTTATAACATGATTTAATTTAGCATTGATGTCTCTGAATCACCAAAAAAAGGTTACATTATATTCCAAAAGTTATACAAAGCTGAGGAGATTGACAGTACAGAAGCCTAAATCTGTCTGAACATTTTCAAGCACTTTAGTTTTTCATTTTCAGTGTGCAGTATATCAGATAGTGTCCTTATCACTTGAAATTAAATCAAATTGTAGCTCATAATTTCTGTTTCAGATAAGGTTATTCACCGTTCATCGTGGATGTAAAAATTTGACAGGCCTCCTTAATGGCAAGAGAAGAAAAATATTCCTTAAATATTCTACCAAGAAGTGCTTCCTAATAGTTTTTCCAAATACATTTGTCACACATACTATATTAGTACTTCCATCTGTTCAGATGCTACTAAGAAGCATAGCCTGTCTCTAACATTACAACTTACAAGTGTCTTCTG